TTTTTTATAACAAGTATTCATTTTTTCCCTGGTGGTTATTTCTTTAAATGAATATTTTAAAAATTAACATGTATTTATGATGTAATTTACCCAAACTATATATCAAAATATGAAATTGTTCTCAAAATTCGCTTCAAAAGGAGAAAGTAGCCAATTATGTTTGGAGCAAAACTAATCGCTCTTACAAAACCCAACAAAGACCTGTGCCTAATTGCCATAGGCACCCTCTTCAGGAGATTGATATCAAAATTTATCTCGGCTCGAATCAAGAGAAAGTCTCCACTTCTCACTTCAACTCAGCTAGGGGTTGGTGTCAAAGGTGGCTGTGAGTCTGCTGCTCATATAACCAGCATCTATCTCCATAATAATCCACTAAACAAACGCCTAATTAAAATTGATTTTAGCAATGTATACAGCACAATAAAACGACCTGCCTTCCTAAAATCCTTCATCAAGCTTCCCATGCTACCAGTTATATTTTAAATTGCTATGCGAATCCCACCATCCTACAATATTGTGAATATAGGCTTTCTTCCTCAGAAGGAATTCAACAGGGTGATCCCCTAGGTTCGATCTTATTCGTCTAGGAATAGGTAATCTAGTTTTAAAAATATTAAAAGCAGGTGCATGTTAGATCTTCATCTCTGGTACATAGATGACGGGATTATATGCGGTAGTCCAGAAGAGATAGCCAAAGCCTTAGAAATTTTATAAACGAATGGGCGAGAAATAAAACTTTAGAGATGTCATTGATGAAGCTCTGATAGAAATTCCCAAAGATGACAGTTATAATAGGCGGAGATCTAAATGCAGATGTGGGAACGACAAGAGAAGGATCCATAAGATACCATGGTGGGTTTGGATACGAAGAAGTAAATGAAGGAGAGCTTGTATTGAGATCTGGGCAAGACTTTGACCTTGATTTAACTAACACTTTCTTTAAGAAAAAGGACAAGCACTAATAACATAAGAGAGTGGTACACGAAAATTAAGCTAGATTATATTCTACTCACATAAAAAGCTTAAGGATGTAATAGACTGCAAAGCATCCAGGGTAAGACATTGCTTAACAGGATAAGTTATTAGACATAGATTTATGTCTTATAAATAAATTCTGTCAAAACAAGCTAAGACTGGAAGCACGCATCAAATAGGGAAAATTAAAATCAATGATAGATACCTTTGCAATAAATGCAAACATTGAAACAATCAACTCTTCGCAGATTAGTGAAAAAAATGACTGACCTCTCAACAAGATTAATAGATGATGTTACGATTACCCTTGGTCTGATAAAAAGAAGAAACAATAAAATGGTGGTGGAATAAACAAATTTCCATCATATAGAGAAGTTATAATATGAATTACATTCTATCGAGATATTTGATGACATCTTATACGGATTTTCTTAAATCCATCATTTTATTAGTGACAAAAAATAACATTTTAAATTTGGTGTCACATTTCTATTTGAAACGTGTAATTCCAACATTGTATTCATTTTAGTAAAAAATATTGATAGACGACCTTCTTTCCGACTAAAATACAGATATTAGGTCAGGCCGGGCATAAAATTTTGACATATTTTTTTCAATTTCAAGCTAATATTATGATTTTGATCAATACTATTTGAAAATAAAATACAGTATGCATACATATTTTAAGGAGATGTCCACTCTATAAAAAATATAATAAATTCCCAAAAATTGAACACGTTATTTATATGATCGGGATTTAAATTTCGCAAAATTTTGGGCCGGGCAAATTTTTTAAAGAATTATAAAGGGCCGAACCGGGTAAAAAAATTTTGGGCCGGGAAATTTGTACAAAAATTCAAAACGGACCGAAACAGACGGGGATTTACAGATCTCAAATGCCTATCAAATTCATGCAGTAATTATGATTGGTTAATGGTAAATTTGGGATGAATAATTTTAACAATTTTTAGCAATATTTTTTTTATATTTTAACAAAAAATATAAATTATTAATGATATAATATAGTCAATAACCATTTTATTTTAGTGGGAGTAATCTAAAAATAGAGCTTTACAGTCTAGATTTCCATTTAATGGTGAAAACTTTTACGTCATAAAATTATAGCTTACTATAATATAAATAATCTAATATTAATAATTTCATGAGCTAAAATTCCTTTCTAGTTATGGGGTTTAGTCAAGATAAGGTTAGAAGTAATTATTCTTATATTTTCAGGTGTTATACATGTCGTAGAAATAGAGAAAATCCAAGCTTATTTTGAATAACTCGGGTTACTTAACATTTCCAAAAACTTAAATCATCTTAAGCACCTGTCTTTTTTAAATTATATTTAACTGAAATTCTATTTTAGAGTTTATGAAGAGTATACTTATTACCCTATAATAAATTTCAGACAGTTCCGCGATTAATTTTTGGGCATTATTTAATTTATATGATAAATCAGTATATAACAAATTATCATAAATGAATAAGATTCAAAAGTTCTGGGCAAAATTGACTGAATTTCACAGGGTAGGTACTATTTATATTCTAGCATATGATTCCAGTTAAATAACATCTTACATAACTAAAAAGGCAAAATGTGCATAATTTATATTTTTTTTAAATTTTCTAACCCAGATTAAATTCCTACCACATGTGAAGGGTCAAAAAAAGGAAAAAATAAAATATGTGTTGAAAAAATTATTTAATCTAAGTGATTTTTATGGCTAACTATAAGAAAAATTTTAAAATTTATTTCCAATAATTTTACAATTTTATAAAGATTTAAAAAGATGGGGAAAAATCTGATCTAGTCTTTCAATTTATTTAAATATTTTCATAAATAAACATGTATTCGTGATAATAACCCGAAAATGAGGAACTCTCAAAGTTTATGCTGGCGACGAAAGCCATCCCCCCATCCCAAATTTTGAACATGATAAAAAAAGCGAAAGATAATGTTTTCTCCGAAAAAAAAGGTATATCCTCTCATTTTAAAACAGAAATAGATGAATTCGGAAGCCCGCTTAGAAGAAGTATCCAACCTCCTCTCGGATCGGGGTCGAGCTCGTTAAAGTAATAGCCTGATGTAAAAACTCGTAAGAAAGAGTCATTTTTATTTGTCGTTTCAAGACCTTTCAAATTTTATAGATTTTGGAATTTAATATAATTTTTAAAAAATTTGATATTATTCAATTAAAAATTAGTTTTTTTTTATATTATTAATATTATTTCATCTATAAATAAATAAAGCTATATTAAATATAATGCGTAGGAGATTCGTTATAAAAAAATGATATATTATCGTGTTTACGAGAATATTTAGAAAGTTAAGTGAGCTGGAGAATACTAATTATTACTTACACCTCACACACAACCTCTTGGAAGCATGTTCAAAACAAGGAAAACTCGTTTAAAAAAAGGCGGGATGGAAATTTTTTATTAGAAATTAGATAATAAAAAATAGATATTTGAAAAATTGACAGGTATGCTAATTTTACAAGGCTAAATATACATTTCTTTAGCATACTTCAATTCTAAAAAGACGATATCATAATATCCGTTTACCTTATAAAAGATAAAATGAAATAATTTCGTTTTTGTAAAGGCTGTCATTCTGCACTATAGGGAAACGAATTGTGATCTTTAAAAATTGTGGACAAAATATTAAAAAGCTATTCATTATTATGTCTATATCCCAAGCAACTAAATAGTCATAGCCAGGAAGACCTTTAAAAAAAAATTTATTGGAGGGGCCCACTAATTAGAAATTTCCCCATGCCTTCCTCTTTGGCAATGTGTACCTAAAATTTCACTATTGTTTAGTGGTTCAGTATCTATATAAGTTTTTCAGAGCTTTGAAATGAACCTATAGTGCTGTGAATCGGCTCCTGTTTTCAAAGTCCTTGTGAACCTAAACTGAATCCATTTTTGGAAAAATTTGGGGTTTATTTTATCTATTTATTTATATTTATCAGAGACCTGCAGGCCAGGCTCAGTTCTAAACCTGATCCATTAATTTTTTTTAATATACAGGCACAAAATAATTTGTTTTTAAATACCCAGGCCATATATTTTAAAACCGAATATTTTAAATCACCATTATTACCTATAAAAATTAAAAATAAATGTAATATTTTTAAAAAATTCAGGCCTGAAAATATATAACCTGGGCATGTCTGGGCCAAAAATATTTTAAAAAATAATCCGAGCCAGGTCTTGCAAATGGTACCTCTGCAGTCTGATATTTATTAAAATATAAAATTGTAGAAAAATTAATTATAAAATAAAATTTAATTTATAATGACAAAAAATTTATTGTCTATAAATTATAATGTATAATTCCTATCATCGCTAGACTTTTCAGTTTTTTAGGACTCATTGGGTACCCAAAGTCAAAATCTTTAAAACTAAAATTTTTAATTTCTAAATGTATTTTTAAATTTCCTACTTCAATTTTATTTTAAAAATTTCAAGCTCTCCAAAATTTTGGTAGGGCTTGAACCCTTAATAACCCCTCTTTGTGACACACTTATTGGTATTAACTATAATAAATATTATTGAATCATGTATATTATTAAAGAGATAATTATGAGATTTTTAAAAATTAAAAACTTTTATTTTGATTTATCTTTTAAGAATTCTGAAATATAAAATATCAATTTTTAACAATATATATAAAAGCAAGATTTCTTAGTTAAAAAATTTGATTGATGTTTCTGAACTAGAACCCAACCTAAACTTTATTTATATGGAAAAAAATTCATGCTCAAAAATAAATAACCTTAAACATTTTTAATATAATAAGCTAAATATAAATATAAAAAATTATTAAATATATTTTAAAGAAAAAATAATTTTTGAAAAAAAATTGATTTGTAATTATGTATTAAGCATAATTTTTAAATAAAATTTAAGTTATAATATTTAAAAAAATCTAAGATTATCTATGAAAGTTTGAAATCATTTAAAGGAAAATTTATAATAGTGGTTTATATTTAAAAAAAACTAAATGATTTAACCTGTAACACAAAGTAATGACATATGATCTTTCTTAGTTTTATATTATGCATCCATGACAGAAATAGGCTTTACATTTTATGTTATAGGAGTAAACCTTTTATTTCATTCATATTATAAATTTTAAAAAAAATCAATTGGATTTCAATATAATATGATCTTTATTTTCCATATGATATTAACAAATATTTTAAAGACTTCTACACAATAACCAATAAGTAAATATTTATATTGCCATATTGCCCTGTGCAGAAGAGTGGAATAAGTAAGTAATGACCCGTGCTCTCTATAACTACACTGTTTTATGGGGCTTTCAATTTTTTTAGAAGTATATGCATTTAAAAAATATTTATAATTTCAATAAATATAGATATATTTGGCATGGCTTCACAGTAGTATTACTATAAGAGGGGGTGCCCCCTGAGGCAAATTTTTTTTAAATAACTCTCTAATATCCCCTTGAACTAAAAATAAAATATTTTGATAGCCCCTGAACGATTTTCTTTATAGTTCTATTAAGTATTATATATAGATTCGATTTTGTCATATAAAAATTAATAAGAATATTTAAATTTTTATTAAATGACTGCTAATTTAATTATTAGATTATATTAGTGCTGTAAACATTACTACAAAGGAGAAACGCGTTATCGTTACTAGTTACATCTGAAAAAAGGAATGCGTTACCAACTTTTTAAAAAAGTAACGCTACTCGTTACTTAAAAAATTAAATATATAAAAAATATTATTTAATATAATAAAATTATACAAAAAGAATATATAATATCGTTTTATATAAAAAAAATTTCATATATATAATTATAATATAAATAAAATTATACAAAAATAATATATTATAAGATAACATCTTTATGTATCAATATTTTATTTATTTTAGCAACAATTGATTTCAAAATTTTGATCAGACAAACAAGAGCGCTTAGTGCTCAACACAGCTGATTAAATAATGGGATGTTATATATGGTATTTTAAAATAAATAAAATCTATAATGAAATTATTTGTAAAATTTTATTATTAAAAATCCTGGCTACGCCACTATTCCATATATATATTATTTCAACAAAGTTTTTAAATTATTCTTTAAATATATTAACAATTATAGTCAAACCAATAGCAATACTAAAACAAGAAATAGAAGATATTGTTTAAAAAACTCAATATAATACTTAGAACCAAAACCAATATTTTGTTAATCTTGGGTTTTTAATGTTGGTTCCCAACCCAATACTGTAGTATTTTAATTGCTTATATTTAGGGCTGTGCCGATCCACATATTTTCACCGATCCGACCCGATATTGCTTCAAACCCGATCCGATACTGATCCGATATTTATATTGATTTTTCGCCACCCTCCTTTGAAACAAATGTAATTAAGAAATCAATATTTATTATACAAAAAATCAAATTATGCATTTAATTTAATTTCTTTATTTCTACAATTAAAACTATAATTAAAAAAACATTTATTTTATATATCCATTTTATTTTGGTATGAATTATAAAATTGTAATATTTAATATATAAAATTATATATTATATTTTTTAAATAAATATGAGAGCCAGTGGCGTCACTAGGGGGGGGGGGGAGCGCAGGGGCTCAAGCCCCCTGAAAAATTTGAAAAGCCCCCTGAAGCAAAAAAAAATTTTTTTTTAATGGTTCCTTAATATCCCCTTAAACTAAAAAGAACTTTTTTTGATTGTCCCCCTGTTTATTATAATTCTATTAAGTAATATATAGATTTAATTTTATTATTTAAAAATTAATAAGATTATCTAAATTTTATTAGATTAGATTAATACATATAAATTCTTCACTATGTCAGCTTGCAATCAAATTCTTTGTTAAAAATAAAATATCAATACCATGCATAATGTTTAAATATCAATTTAGCATAAACAGTTGAAGTTTAATTGATTTTTATTAATTAAATTATTATATAACCCTAATTAAATAAATATAAAGATTTATTAATTGAAAATTAACAAATTTAATATTGTAAGCCGAGTTTAAAATCACTATTTAAATAAAATGACTTTGCGATTTAAAAATTTAAGCAATAAAGTCTTTATGAAAAAAACTAAAGATAAAAGTAGCAATAATCTTGAGGACCAAAAATGAGGATTCAATAATAAAGCTGGTAATGAACAAAGTATATTTTATACAGTTTTTAAAATTCAAACTTTGATTTAGTTGAAAGACCATTAATTGTAGTTTTAAAAGATATAAATATTGAAAACAAAAATGTTAAAAGAAAGAAAATAGGTAAATAAATTTATATATAAGTCTGTGTCGAAAATGTTTTGAAAAAAATCCTTAAAATTTTTACAAATTAACAAAACACTTTGGACATTTAAGTTTTAAAAAATAAAAATTTATTAGTTAATTATCTATTTTAATGGAAGGTTTCTTTTTCACTTGATCATAATTGAGGTTATATGTTTTTCCTATTTCCTCCCAAATTTGCCTAATTTCTATAGAATTTCTATTTAAGTCATTTTTCACCAGAGTATTAAACAATATTGATTTCTTTAGTTTTCAAGTTAAGCAAATTGCTCTACAATATATTTTCACCTTTCAGGAGCAGGACACTAGAAATATTTTTTAAAATTTTGTGATGTCAAAATATTAGCTAAATAAAATATAGTAAATATTTTCTATATAAATAGTCAATATCTTAAAAAATCATACACTATTATTTTTTTTACATTAATAAAGATAATATTGGCTAAATTGTTTACTCAATCATTCTTTCATAATTTGATAATTATATATTTATTTGTTTATCCTAACTTAATAATAAACTATATTTCAATAAAAATGCTAAATAATTTTAGAATAGTTTGCTTATTTATATATATTTTGAAAAATGGACACTATAATATGGAATATTAATTTTTATATATTATATTTACAAAAATAAATACACTAAAAAGAAATACATTTTAAAATTAATCTTATTTAGATTCATTGAATAATGAAGAAAGTATTGTGAATGATATGATTGTAAATAATGTAAGTACAGAAGGAAAGAAAATAGGTAAAAATTAATTTATATACAAGATATTTTATTTCTTAATGATCAATATTCTAGTCTTAATTATTTATATTCTAGTTTATTTTGTACGTATAATATAATCGCGAAACTCGTAGTGGGGCCCCTCATGTCACCCTTCACTAGAAGAGTAGCTGAAAGAGGTTTTCGCCCGCGCATTGACCACCTCAAAATAAACAATAATAATAACACCTATTTCAAACACAATACCCGCGCGGGCGTCCATAACAAATACCATGACATTATCAGACAACTCCTCGTTGCTAATGTCATTGAGCTGGCTGACGAGGACCAAATATGTTCCCCGCTCTTCGTGATCCCCAAGGGGAATGGAGCGCCTAGAGTCATTAGCGACTTCTCTGAAGTCTCCAAAAACTTTTTGCACTATCCCTTCCGCTTAAGATCGATACCGCTTATGTCAGCCAAGCTAGATCAGGCATCATACGCCTGTAAAATCGACATCAGATCCGCCTTCTTCTCCATCCCCCTTGCTACCGGGGTCAGGAAGTTCTTCGGATTCAAATTCAATAATAACAACTACCGATACAAAGTGTTACCCATGGGAGCATCCTTCAGCCCCTATTGTCTGCAGTCCATCATCCTTGACGCATGCGCCAAAACGGTTAGGAAAGCTAGCTACAACGTCTATCTAGACGATATCCTGATCTATGGAGCTAACGAATTGGACGTCAAATTGTCTACCCGCTCGTTGCGTTGCACTTTGGAAGGATGGGGGCTACAAATAGCGCCCGAAAAATCGGTCTTGGATCCAACTCCGCGAATCACCTACCTAGGTGTTCCTATTGACCTATCCAACAAGACCGTTTCCGCAGACACCACTACGAGAAGAAGACTACTGAAATGCCTAGAAGTCTTCCGGCGACACTCGTACCAGCACCTCGACGTAGGCATCGAGCTAGCAGCCAGAGTCCTCGGGGTTGTCAACCATTATGCCTACACCATAACAGGCATGTCAAGGCTATTCTCCCCATACTACGTCACCATGAATAGTGGACAACTTGCCCCAGTAGTGGACACTTTCTTGGCCTTCACCAAAGCACAATTGATTATCGATGCTCTAGCGATACCTCTGCCCCTGCATTATTATGCGAACTCGCCCGTTTACGTCGATGCATCCAATTCCCATCTAGGAATCAACTTTTGGGAAACCGATAACCTCTCGGTGGCATACAGCGAAGCATGCCTGCTCTTTAACATCCCAACGCACGCAATAGCCCACATCAACGGCAAAGAGATCTTAGCGGTCGGCATGGGAGCGATTATGGCGATACACCGTAACAACGAGCATCCAATGATATTCATGGATTCGTCTGTGGCGTACTATACCTTCAGGAAAGGAGGCTCGCGCTCCCCATCCCTAGAGATTATCATTACACAGATTATGATCAAGCTAGGGTTGCCTAACTTCACCGCCATCTCTCAAAACATTCAATGGATCCCTACTGAAGACAACCCTGCCGATTTACCATCGAGGACTTGGATGGCACCAAGAAGGCATTTAGAGCTCTTCGAGGGACCTATACTGGAAGGATCAGTTCTACTCCAGCAAGACGACGACTCTCTATTTGGGACCCAGTCTAACCTGGAAACCCCTTCGTTGATATCAAACCTATCGATACCCGAAGACGACGCCTCCACCGTATCATACAACTGGGACCGATTATCCATTACTTCCCAGGACTTGGCCTGACCACGTCAATCAAAACATACAGCAATAAACAACTATTAGCTAAGAACGAATCATCCCCTAATATTTATTTACATAAATAGCTATTATTACACTAATTATACTCATTGTTTATTTTTCTATTGCTAATACTGTAAATTTTGATTGACATATTATGTTTAATAAGAAATAAAGGCCTTAGGGACATCAAAGCCATAAAGGCCAAGATGTCCGGTTATTCCCATGTTTTGCCTGAAAGGGCAAAACATAGCAAGGAAATAACTGCATTAATATATAACCTGACCGAAGGCAGGGCAAAAGCGGGCCGTAGGCCCGCAAATTAGGGGGTATGGGGGGCGAAGACCCCATAAAT